GGTTACACCGCCATTATATCACTCTCGCGGTTACACCGCCATCTCACACGCAGTTACACTGCCATTATATCACTCTCGCGGTTACACCGCCATTATATCACTCTCGCGGTTACACCGCCATTTTATCTTAAAAACATTTCTCAAAAACACTCTTTTCACCCGGTTTAGAAGTCCGGTCAACTTGTCCGGATTAGAAGTCCGGTCAAAACACTTTGAAAATAAATCAACTCCCTTGTCCGGATTACAAGTCCGGACAATACTTCAAAAATAACATTGTCCGGTTTAGAATAAACCGGACGATACACCGTTCACCCTTTGTCCGGTTTAGGGTATACCGGACAATACATCATTCCACCTTTTGACCGGTTTAGAGTATACCGATCACCCCTTAGCCGGTTTATAGACTTAAACCTTTTGACTCAAGTGGTTTAGAAATAAACCGATCACCATATGGCCGGTTTAGATGATATCCAGTCACTTCTTAACCGGTTTAGATGATACACCGATCAGCTCTTGGCCGGTTTAGTTAATATCCGTACAAGGCACAAGCGGTTTAATTGTCCGGATTTACAATCCGGACAACTCTTGAACGGTTTAAACAAGAACTTCTCATAAAATGTAACAAAATTCATGAAAACCAKTTCTAAATGCTTATCAAACTGTATGTAAGCAATTCATATCCAAAGCTTTTTATACACTCACCTTTTAAAAGTTGAGAATCAAAGCTTTAAAACCTTCTTCTTCCTGTGCAATCCTCCCAAGTCTTCAGAGAAAAACTTTCTTAAAATAGAATGTGTGTGTGTACTTTTCTCTTCACAAACTCTATATATTCATGCATTTTAAGGAAGGGAGGTGATGGGCGGCTCACTAGCCGACCTCCATTTCCTTAATTAAAATAAAAAGAAATTTTTTAAAATACCACACACATATATATATGTTACACACACACATATATATATATGTTACACATATATATATATATATATATAATCAAAATAAACCAGATTATTACAATATTCCCTCCTTAAAAGAATTCCGTCCCGGAATTCACTTAAGCAAAAAGGTAGGGATATTTCATCCTCATTTCCGACTCTGGTTCCCAGGTGGCATCTGATCCTTTATGATAACGCCACTGAAGCTTTACTAACCCAATCTCTTTATTTCGTAACTTCTTCACCTTATAGTCAGTAATCTGCTCAGGGGTTTCTTCAAAACATAACTTTTCATCTACCWTAATCTMAGGTAATGGTACTGCCACATCTGGAYTTATTAGACACTTCCTCAAATTTGACACATGAAACGTGTCATGAATTCCACTAAATTCTAAAGGAAGTTCTAACTTATAAGCCACTTCTCCAACTCTCCCAATAATAGGAAATGGTCCAACATATCATGGACTTAATTTCATTTCTTACCAAAACGTACTATTCCTTTCCAAGGTGATACTTTTAACATTACTTTATCACCTATTTGAAACTCAATCGGCTTCCGACGTTTATTTGCATAACTTCTTTGTCTATCTTGTGCCGCTTTCATTCGTTTCGTATTACCCCAATTTTATCTGCAGTTTGCTGAACTAACTCAGGCCCAGCTAACTGTCTTTCACCTATTTCATTCCAGCATAAAGGAGTTCGACATTTTCGTCCATACAAAACCTCAAAAGGTGCTGCCTGAATACTCGAATGATAGCTATTGTTGTATGCAAATTCAACCAAAGCCAAATAACTATCCCACGACCCTCCGAAATCAATAACACAAGTTCTCAACATATCTTCTAAAGTTTGGATAGTTCGTTCACTCTGTCCATCAGTTTGAGGATGATAAGTTGTACTTAACTTAATTTGTGAACCCATTTTCCTCTGAAAACTCTTCCAAAACATAGAAGTGAAACGACTATCTCTATCAGAAACAATTGATAACGGAACACCATGTCGTGTCACTATCTCATCAAGATACAACTTTGCCAATCTTTCCATCGAATATGACTCTTTCATAGGTAAGAAGTATGCATATTTAGATAACCGATCTACTATCACCCATATTGCATCATATCCTTTTGATGTTTTCGGTAATTTGGTTATGAAATCCATAGTAATATGATCCCATTTCCAAACCGGAATTTCTAAAGATTGCAACTTACCATAAGGACGCTGGTGTTCAATTTTTACTTGAAGACAAGTCAAACACTGTTCAACATGTTTAGCAATATCTTTCTTCATACCTGGCCACCAATAATGTTGCCTCAAATCTCGATACATTTTATTTGTACCTGGATGTATCGCAAAACGTGAATGATGAGCTTCATTCAAAATACGTTTTCTGAGATCACCATAACATGGTACCCAAATTCTGTTCTGAAATTTCCAAAATTCTCTATCATCTCTCATCAAATCAGATATTAATCCACCCAATCTTTCACGTTTGATCTTATCCTCTTTCATTGCCTCATGTTGAAATTCTCGTA